TAGCCTTATTATATTCAAATTATAAATAATTAATAATATACTCTAAGATGTATATGATAATATAAAAAGTGTAGTATGTATACTTATATACACATTATAAATAATATACACAATTTAGGTGTATATATCATACGATATTGGACGGGCTTGGGTTGGGTTAGGTCAACATGAGTTTTTTAAGTCCAAATCTTGTCTAGAGCCTAAAAACAAAGCCCAATCCATGAAAGTATGAAATCTGTGTTGGGCGCACCCAAGTTGTAGCCCTAGTCTGGACCTAGTCCAGATGTTACCGTTGAATGCCCCAAGTATGAAGCTGCTTCAATCAAACATTTTATCTGATATCAAAGAATATAATGAAGAGAATAATCATCCAGTGATTAACAATTTTGCACGATAGTAGATGTTAGTTTCTTATACATTTTTTATGTTCCACAACAGGTTAAAAATCTCAACCTAAGAACCAATATAAGCTACTAATACTTTCTCAAAACTCCATTATGATCATAAAATGGCTCTATATTTCTTTCCTTTGCTAACCTCTAGATGTACCTCTCATATTGTCATATCCTATTTATCCAATTCAGAAACATTTCTCTAGCTCCATAACTTGCAATTCGTTGCATGCATGCTTTTTAAGGACCAGGACCCACCAGTACAAAAAAAAAAAAAAAAGACCCACCATTAGAGACAGGTCCTAGCTAAAACATTCGCCGTAGAAAAACAAATCGGAAAAGTATAGATTTGTCTAATGCAGATTTCTGATTTACACTGCAGGACTATAAACATTCAAATGGATCGATACCCACATTCTATGTACACATGCTCACCCATAAATTGGCATCAATTCCGAGCTGGCACCTACCACGCCATACATAAAACCTACAAATTATGACATTGGGAGTATCGGTCATTCTCCCAAAACAAATCAGCATAATTGGATGACTTTTAATCATCTGATCTGGGCATTATTTTTGGAATATATTTTATTGTTACAAAAATAACACATTTTTCAGTGTGCAATTAAGGGTCCATTTGGGAGGGCTGAGCTGAAGGTTCAGTTAAACTGTTCAAATGGATTTGTATGACTTTTAAACAAATAGGAAAAGTATGGATTTATCCAATGCATATCTCTGATTTACACTGCAGTGCTATAAACATTCAAATGGACCGATACCCACACTCTATGCACCTATGCCCACCCGTAATTAGCATCAATTCCGAACTGGCACCTACCATGACCATACATTGAACCTACAAATTCTGACACTGGGGGTATCAGTCATTCTCCCAAAACAAATCAGGATGATTTTTAATCATCTGATCTGAGCATTATTTTTGGAATATATTTTATTGTTACAAAAATAACACATTTTTCAGTATGCAATTAAGGGCCCATTTGGGAGGGCTGAGCTGAAGATTCAGTTAAACTGTTCAGTTGCTTTGAAGCACTCTGGATAAACTAGCTGAAGCAGACAGTCAATGACAGTAGAAGGACGGGAGAAGGACATTAGTTGCATTGATTAATAATGTTTTTAGCCTCAGTTTGGAAAGAGTGCAAATACAAATATATAGAGAGTAAAATCTTGTATTTTGCATTATTTTGTATATATTTGTAGAACTTAGTCAATGTTTTATGTTAAAATTAAAAAAAATATATATTGAAAAAGTATTTATAGAGATTTATTGGGACTTGAAACGAATATAACATAAGTTTTCCAAACTTCAAAAAGAAATGAATCATCATGTTGATGTCAACCTGCAAATCGATGCCCGGATCAAATGATTCAATTGCTTGATAAGTGATTTTTTATCAAATCAACGTTTTTTTTTTTTCTTTGTAAATAGTGGCTGAAAACCAGTAATATAATCAATTTTCAGATCAAATGATTCGACCATCCAGATCAACAACAATTTTAAAACCTGGAATTCAAATGGACGAAATTACCTAGGCATGCTTTTTAATTGCTTCAAAATATTTTAAGGCGGAGAAGCGTTCAAAATTCAAATTTAAAATCTGAAGCTTAGAATACAAAGACCAAAATTATTTTAAACTGATCAATGGTGGGCTTTGAAATTCTGAAGGTTCAGTTTGGAATGAGTATACATACAAATATATGTAAAATGCAAAATCTTGTATTTTGTATGTATTTATAGTGTACATATTTATATCTATACTCCTTTCAAGTTTCAAAGTGAGCCGAAAATCGAATTTGATGCAATAAACAGGTCCCCAATTATGGATCTTGTAGCCCACCTTATACAAACCCCCTCCAACGAAAAGAAAGAATATTGAGCAAAAAAATCTTGAGAGAATGATGGTTTAGCCCAGGGTCAGAATTTCTGGTCTATTGAGTTCGTAAAAGTTGTGTGTGCGTGTCTTTTTGGGTAGGGGTGGTTTGAACCGGTATCTTGTTTTTCTTCAATCTATTTGCAAATATTATGGGTAGGGCCTGAGGTGAAGGAGCAGCTTTGTAACTCTTCCCCAACTAATATTGAAGTACTGCACTAGTGTAGTGATTGATGGGACTATCACGATTTAAATTTTATTCTCCCTGTAGCTCGACAAATGAAAAGCTCAACATGTTATCTTGAAAGGAAGTATTATGATTTCCATAGTCTCCTCCCCATCACTTGGGCTCAGTTTGGAAAGATTACAGATACAAATATGTAGAGTGCATATCATGCTTCTGCCTTCCTAGTTCCTACAGCAGCTAAATGATAAATTTAAGTTACAAATTAAAGCAAGTCATGATTTTTCCTAATCTGGAAATGCAAAACATGTTCGCCTCTAAGATGCACATCCTAATCAAAATGATATTACCATTTTATTTTGCGAACATTGATGGCAGCAAGAACGCACATACAGAAATTGACATCCTTTCTTTTTTCTTGTTTTGCATATCCATAGAAAAAYCAGTTAAATGAGAAGCAAGAACCTGGTGGAGACCCACACGAGGAAGAAACAATGGAATCAGTGTTCAACGATGAGACCAAGGGAGAATTACATGTCAATATTCCTGAAGAAAGACCCCATTTAGCCAATGAACAAGAGCTGCCCAATCCTCGGGTGGATGGCATTCAAAAAAAAATCCCATTTAACCAATGAGAAAGGGCAGTCCAATCCTCATGCGGATGACCTTCAAGAAAATTTCCTCCTAACCAATGAGCAAGAACAGTCCAATTCTATGAAGGAGGATGGGTTTGAAGAAAAACCTCATTTAGCGAATGAGCAAGTGCAGTTGAATTCTCAGTCAGATGATGTTAATGTGTTGCAAAATGATGTCCAATGGGGTCTTCAATCTTTGCGCAAGTTTCTGTTGTATCTGGGGYTTCTTTYGGAATAAACCTAACCACAACAGTAAAACAACCTCCAGCATTTTACTTTTCCCTCTACGCATTTTTGTTTTTTGGTGGGGTGAAGGGAACAGAACGGTCAGGCCTTTTTGTTGTTGCTGCATGYAGATAACATCTTTGTCATTTTTGCCCAACTTGCTGTATGTCATTGTTTGAGACACATGAACACCACTAGAATCTTTGTTGTTGCTGTATGTCATTTTTTGCCCATTTTTGCGGTATGTCTTCACATGCCAATGGAATTTGTATACTCATTTTTACATATATAGTGGGTTTATCTGCAACTAGTTTTTTTTTTTTTTTTTGATAAAGTTTTCTGCAAAAGTTGAGTGGCACGGAAAGGTGGAGAATACAGAACTCCCGTTTTTATTTGTGGAAGGCAATATTGCATGGCTTTCATAGGGAGGTGCGTGCGATTGGCTTGGTATCCAGCCAATGTTTTAAAAACCGACCCGAAGGCCGTTTTTGCCTCCAGGTCAAATGGTTCAGGCCATGCCATGTCATAATATATATATTGTTGTTTTAGATTTCATATGTATTATTTTATATTTAATTTAAGTTTTTTAATTCAATTTTTAATTTTTTTATAAAAATATTAAAATTTATAATTTAAGACCAAAAAAGGGATACTTTTCAAGAAAATAGCGAAGTAAGGCGTCATAGGAGCCTTGGGACGCATAGATCTCAAAATGTGACCCAAAATAAGAAAATCACCCCAATCAGACATCAGAGTGCAAAATTATGGCCAAGGTTCAAAATATCAATACGCCCAATACGTCGGTAGTGGCACATCGGGTGATATTGATACTTTTTTTTATCTTTTTTTCAAAAACCAGTTCAGGGGAGCCGGTTTAAAGCTCCTCCACCCCTTGAACCGATCAGAACCCGGATACATCATCTATAGGGGTGTATCGGAGAGCTCCCAGAACAATATGTATCAGCCAATACGATCTGGTACATGTCGTTACTTTGAACCTTAGTTATAACCTTTGAAAGTGTATGCATTGAGTACAAAACCCATGACCCAGTCATCAAGTCGAACGGGTCAACAGTCAAACTGACCGGATCAAACGATTCTTAACCAAATCAACGATTTTTTACCACCTGATAGGCCTTCAGTCTTAACTGAACCGAACCCAAAATTCTAGATAACGGTTTGAATGGTTCAACCAGCCAGGTTGAAAACATTGTATCCAGCTTTAGAGGACACAAGAGCAGGTAAGGAATAGTAAAGATGCAATACTCCGCTGAAAACATTGTATCCAGCTTCGTCATAGTTCATACTTCATACTCTATCTACATCCCTTTCTGTTTAGGCTTTTTACGTTATGGCCATCCAGTATACCGATGATTATGGATGGTCACGCTATGTAATTAAACGAAATAAAACCAAATTTTACATTTTTACAGAAAATGAACTGGTAAATTACTTATCCACCCTTGGGCTTCTATCACCCCCCCCCCCCCGCTCCATGTTTACGTGTTAATTTACACTCCTTTTCACCACAAAACTTGAGGGGTTACCTCTAAAATATGTATTTTAGAATATATCTATTTTGAATATTTTCAGATGTCGTGTGAACATATTCCCATCACCTAAATTGATGGCAACTAAACAAAAGGAAGCAGTAACTCAACCACAAGGGTAAGTCGATAAATAATCACAGCATCATAAGCAATTTTGCCCCTTTACCATTAGAGAAACAAAACCTAGTTAGCATATTGAGAAAAATTGTCAAATTAATGATCTTATAACCCTGAAGATCGGATTAAGATAATATATTAGACTGGCATAAAAAAAAAGGATAATACTATATTAGACGGATGCCAGAATTACTGTACAAACTCTAAAGGTGTGTCACCCTCTAGATATCCCCCATAAAAAGGGAACCAAAATTGAACAGGCTCCACGTGAAATCAGGAGAGAGCCCACAAGAAGAGCTCCAGCAATGGCAGCACAGGCACCTGCCAACTTTACCAATAAAGAAGAGATGAACCATGGCCTGAAACCAAAAACTAAGACCTGGATATCTCAAACTTAAGACCTTAATTTTGGTGAAAATCGCCCAACTGCTCCCATTACATGGCTATTTCCTAATCAAGAAATCAGATGCCTGTCAAGAAACGGGATGCCCATTCTTTGGATATCTCGAGGATGGCAGACCTTGTAAACCGCACAGCGCTTCATCTTTAGACCGTTTGGATGGTATGGCTTGTAGCAACCTGGAAGAAACAATAACCAAGAAAAAGATAACTGCTAAAAAACCCATATATTCGAAATCGAAAACATATGACACAGACTTGATATCAATTGAAATCCTTTGCTTGCTTGTATCAATTGAATATAGATAGGCACATCTATAGATAAAAATGATATCAGAGAAGTTGGTCGGACAAAGTATAACCATGCTCTAGGCCTCTAGCAAAACCAATACCTGTCAATGATTTTATTTTTTTGGTTATTAGACCTTCCCAATAAATTGCCAATGTATAACTTTGGCTTTATTTACTAGATTTATCCTTATAATTCTGTTGAGAGTTCACGCTGTAACGTTTATATCACATCTTATAACGATGTCATTTTTTGGATCTTTTCTAATTTTTATATTCCAGGATTCCTATATAGAAAACTAACAGCTATTGCTGTCTAAACACAAAAACACCTCCTAAATCTTAACAAAATCAAAGACCATGAGTTATGCAACCGAGAGAACCAAAAGCCTAGTTTTTATCAACCAAGCAGAAACAAAGCAACATCCAGAAGAAACAGAAACCAAGAAACATAAAAACAATCAACTACCACCTACTACTTAACAGAGACCTACGTTATGACGTAAACCATTCTTCCTGAGGAAATATTTCCTTGCACAATCACTCTCTGGACGTAAACGATAATCATCATTAATGACGTGGAGAAGCACGTAGACAGCTTACTGTCCACTCAAAAAAAAACAAGTGAGAGAGAGGGAACAACTAGCAAAAACTACAATTCACTTAATTAAACTTTTATTAACAAATAAACTCTTCTAATTTCAATTTGCAATGACACTTTGTAGAAACAATACGAGGACTTAAAACACCCTTCTAATTGTAAAATTAAGGTAAACAAATAGACATTCCAAAAAGAACCCTAACTACTAAAACATCTTTTTTTCGAAAAGAGTATTGTATTAAGTACACCAAATTTACAAGAAGGCCCTGAACAGAAGCAATTCCATGTGCGCTGGCTACAACCAATCCATACAGAGTATTCTAGATACAGAATAGTATTCTGTCCTTAAAAACATGAATCACTATCTGGCCAGCTCCATAACTTTTCCTCTTTTGCTGAGTTCCTTTAAGTGCCAGCTTGATAAAAATGCTTCCACTTCATCCCAACCCACAGGTTTCTAGCAAACTGGCAATGCAAAAATAAGTAGCTCAATTCTATTGCCTCTCCACACATAACACACCCACTGCCATCCACCATCATTCTTCTCCTATTCAGATTATCCACTGTTACATTTACCTGGTGCTACTGTCCATAGCAATTTAAGAACATTCTCTTTTTCAATTAGATTGGCTATGCTAAGAGGGATTAAAAATAAAGATAAATAATAGCAATTTAAGAACACTCTTCATCAATGTTAATGCACCCCTATTAAACCTAGACTAACAAAAGACAACTCCTAGGTAGACCCAAAAGATAGAAAGGCTCATGTCTCATTACTGGCTCAGGCTGACACCCCATCGCCATATAGACATGTCTCTGTCAATACACACCGGATTTAAGAGATGCTGGTCTTGCAAGATAAATGACTCAATTACCCATCTAATAATAGCACCAAAATCCAAGGTTTAAAGTATCAATACGAAACTCCAGGTGTGAGGCATATCGAATCCATATCCATGGCCACGGATACGGGATATGCCACAGCTGGGTATGTACCCCATGAGTCATGCATATCATGTCGTTACGCCACCGTATCAGGTCGTATCACGTTGTATTGGTGGATAGGGTCCAATACGCACAGATACAGAAGCGTATCGACGCCCAATTTGACGAAAATGTATATTGAGCACTTTTGAATTGTTTTTGAACTTCAAAAAAATTAGAAATTATAATTATAAAAACTGAAATAAATAATTTAAGATTTAATTTTCCCCAAAAATTTAATAAGAACTGAAAGTTATAAAAATAATTTATCTTATCTATCTTAAATGATTTATATGTTGTATTCTACATATAAATTATATGTTGGAAACGAAAACATATTTATTATTTGAAAGAGAAGAATTATTTCTTATATAAAATACTAAATAAATAAACTTTCACAAAAAAAATTAGTAAAAAATGAAAAATATACTTATAAAAACTGAAGTAAATAATTCAAGAATTTAATTATAAAAACTGAAATATAATTATAAAAACTTAATAAAACCTGAAATATTAACATAATTTATTTTATCTACCTTAAATGATTTATATGTTTTATTTTATAATTACATGTAAAATAAAACAATTATATGTTAAAAATGAAAACATATTTATTATTTGAAAAAAAAATAGAGCTGTTATTTATATACAATATTAAATAAATAAGTTTTCACAAATTTAATAAAAATTCAAAATTACAAGTGATAATTATTGTATGATGTGTACATGTTCTAGAGCCCCAGTATTGTTGATTGCAATGTTTCTCTTCATATAAACTATTAAAGTGTGCATTTCTCATGTGTTTACGTGATTTGTATGCATTTCCTAGCATATCCAAGTCCAAGCCCTTTCATCCATATCCATACGTTTCCAAAGCATATCAGTATCTGAGCTGTCTGATACAATACCCGATACCAATACTTTGATCCATGCCAAAATCATTCAAAGCATACAAGTTTTGACCTCTGAAGAATCATCATCTTCATCTAAACCTTGGTTTAACTATATGGGATAATGGGATTGACTACATAAATCTTATTCAGTGATTCTATTCTTTTATCCATTGTTAAATTGTGGGCCGCCAGGCCCTTAATCATTTCTCATTACTTCGACAGTGTCCCTTTTATTCTGCCCCTAGTTCTTCCAACTCCTTCAATTTGTAACAGATCACTTCTTCTTACTAGTCTTGTGGATGATCTTCTTTGCATGCACCCAAACCATCTTAATCTACTTTCCTTCATTTTATCATCTATTGGGGCAACTCTTAGGATCAATCAAGTAAATTCATTTCTGATCCAATCCTTTCCAGTTCCACGTTCATCCATCTCAATATTCACATTTCTACCACCCACTTTTTTGAACATGTTTCTTGACTGCTTCTCTCTGCTCCATACAACATTGCTGACTTATATAACCAGTTCTAAATTTTCTCTTTTGGCCTAAGTGGTATTCTCTTAGGCCATCCTTTTTTTTATGGTCAACATCCTCAACCTCTCCATTGTTATGGAATATTGAACCAAGGTAATGAAGGAGACCACATTGAGACATCTCTTGGTCTCCAATCCTAGGTGTGCCTGATTTTCGCTCCTACTATTATCGAGCTTACATTGCACATATTATATTTTAGTTCTACTTTTTTTAAAACCTCTTGTTTATAAGGTATTTGTCCATAAATCTTATGTTGCATGACCACTGAAAAATAGGATGAAAAAGATTATGTAATTTCACCTTCAACTAAAACTCTATTTTTTTTATAGGAAACAAAAACTTTCATTGATTAGATTAGTTAAAGAAGTACAATTGTCACCACACAAAGAAGGATTGTGAACCCTCAAGGAAGATTCTTACAAAACAGCCCAGAACAAAGCCTCCCCATTTACTCCTTGTTTTGCTAAAACATTGGCCATTCCATTTGCTGATTTTCTAGTCTACCTGAACTGTACCCCAAGCTCCCTTGTTAATTAAACACATAATTTCCCTCAAATGTTGTCTGAAAGACCAAGTACCGAATGACGAGGATCGGTCCAAGCATAATAAGACCTATTCTCGTAAGAAGAATACCAACAAACAGCTTCTGATTTGGCATGGGGAAGATTCTTGGGACTTGGACTGATCTGACCAGTCCCATGTGGGCTTGGGTTATAGCATCTTGTTCCTCCAGCTTAGTAGTGTTTCTCCTTCAATTTTCAGTTTATTGGCATTAGTAGGTAGAAAGTTAATATGTTTCTTGATGCAGAAGACAAGGAGTGGCTTTTTTGTAATTATGGTGAAAAGTATTCTGGGCCACACAAGTCACTCTATAAATAGATGTACTCTCTTCCTTTTGAAGCTAATGAAGATTTCTTTAGAGCCCTCTTGCTCTCTCTCTTCTAGGACCCCTTGGAGTGATTCCTTGGGATTTCTCTTTTTTCTCTATCTCTACCACTCCTCCTCTCTCTCTCTCTCACTCTCTCTCTCTACCTCTCTTTCTGTCTTGTGGTAGTTTGTTCCAGCCCTACTGCATGCCCAAGCTTCTTGTTTGCAGACATCCGATTACCAACTTGGAGTCTCCTTCGACTTCTAACAGTTGCAGTCGCCGAAGTCATTCTCCACATCACCCTACCCCTCTTCTTTGGTTGTCAGAAGAAACTTAAGTCAAAAAGTTTCATGACAAATCGTCACACTCAAGAGAGGATTCAACATGCAAGCAAAGAGAGGAGAGCCCAAATGTAAGAAGCAAAAGGACAAGAGATTTATAGACATGGGGAAAGGCACCAAGTTGGCTCATTCCTTCAATGTTTTAAAAAAGACCCAGAACCGAAACCGGAACCGTTCTGGCCACCGATTTCTGGGTCAACAATTTGACCATCCGGGCCAATGGGTTGAATGGGTCAAAATGGTCAAAAATTTTAAAAAATAATTAAAATAAAAATGGTCAAAACATTTAAACAAGATGAATGGGTCAATGGTTCGATAGCCCGATTGAACGGCTGTTGACCAATTCAACAGTTTTTGCCAGGGTCCAAGGACCATGTTTGGGGTAAAACGGAACTGGTTGCCTAGACGGTTCCCAAGCTGAACGATCCGACCATCCAACGGTTTGAAAACTTTGCTTTTCTTTGAACCACATCTAGGGCTGAACATTCTTGGCCCAGCCCAACCCACAAATTTAAGGACCTGGGCCCAGGTTTTTGTGTGCATGCCCGGTCCGACTCAAGCCCGCATTAAGCACAAAAATTTTTGGGTCGGGCTAGGGCCCGACACTTCAAGCTTAGCCTGTAATATAATACAATATAATATATATTTTTAAAAATATATTATAACATTATATTATATATGTTATATATATATATACAAGTATATTTTATTTTATACAAAATGTTTATTATTTTATATGTCTATAAGATATAAAAAACTTAAGTTCTAACATAGTAACATATAAATAAATATTAATTAGTTGACACGTGTTAGTGCATGTGTGGACACTTAAGCCAACTCAAAGGTAACACATAATTTGGTGGTGTTCCAAGTCCCACATTGATCAAGAATGGGAATGGAGGCTTTGCCTTCATCTATAAAAGGATAGCTAAGCCAAGCCAAACCAACTCTAAGAATTAAATGAGGCCCATGCCTTCTTTGTGCATAGGCCCAAATCTTAGTCAAGCCCAATTTACCTTGGGCTTTGTGCCATATTTTTTGCATATATTACATTTTATTTCATTTAATTTAAAATTAAATATTTATTATTAGATATCAAGCCCGGAAAGCCCATAAGCCCAGCCTAGGCCCGTGTAGGGCCAGGCTTGGGCTTGTAAGCAAGGCCTGGAGTGCAGGCCTGCCTGAGCCTAGGTTAAAGCACTTATCATTAGTGTTAGACCCAACCTAAGCTTGGCCCGACCCATGATCACCCCTAAGCATATCCATAGTATTGATTTTCTAGGGAACCACTTCCCAACAGAAAGCCCTAATCTTTGGTGGTACAGGAGTATACCACACTTCTTTTACAAAGAAGAACAAGAGAAGAAGCATAAGGATTCTGACAAAATTCTACCGCCTGAGAAAGATTGTTGTAAAAAGAGAAAACAATTAATCAACAAAACCCATTTATGAATCCCTCAACCCTCTCCTCGAGCCCAAGTCCCAAGAACCCTCAAAAGCACAAAAAAAAGGAAATAACCTTGAATGACCTAGTTCCATAGATACCATAACCATATTTCCTCGATAATTATTCATAATTTTCATAAGAAAAGTATAAAGTTCATGTTAAAGTATAGAAAATCAACATATTCATGAGAAGAAAAACAAGAAAGAAAAGAAATTCCTAAAAATATAGGGGCTGAACCCTTATTTTTGTTAAAGGAAAAGAGGAAAAGAAATTTTTTAAGTTCATCGTCACTTATTGGTTTAGGTTTTGAGGTCTTTGAGGATTCAACACAGCATTAGCAATGTTTGTTTTGATTAAACCCTAACAAATAAGAAAATAATAAAGATAAATTAGTATATAAACACACAAAATGAATATTTTAGTTTAGTAATGTCTATTTTATAATTATAATCTCAAAAAATAAAGAATAAAAAAGTATTTTAAAATAGAAAGTACAAAACTGCTTGGCGATTAGGTGAGGCGAGCCTCGAAGGGCGCCTAGGCATCGCCTTGACAACTATGGTCCCCAATCCAAAAATCCTCCAAGAAAATTATTACCAAGGGAGGCATCTTACCTAATAAAAAAACGAAAGGCAAGTAGGTACTTACTACCACCTTGTGCCACACTGCCACAAATTATCCTATTCCAAGGCAAGTAGGTACTTACTTGCATATATTACATTTTATTTCATTTCTCTCATCTTCCCAATGAGAGAAATGAGAAGCCCTACGGTCAAAACCAAACATCCCATCCATTAGCTACCAATCCATAGATACTTACTACCACCTTGTGCCACACTGCCACAAATTATCCTATTCCAAGGGAACCTCCATAACCACATTCCTAGCAAGGCCACATTTCTTATTACCAATGCCTAACCCCCCTTGGTCCCTCTTCCTAGACACCACTTCCCACTTCACCCTATGGTCCTTTCTTTATTCGCAATCTTGACAAGTAATTAAGGTGACCTAGGTTCAAATCTTGGATACAACCTCTCTGTATGTGCAAGGGTAAGGCTGCAAATATGTCCCTCCCAAATCCTGCATTGGAAGAAACCTTATACATTGGGCTGCCCTACCCCCTAGTGAGATGTAGTTCCTCTTCCACCCTGCTAGCCTCTTTATAAATCTCTCCAAAACTAGGTACCAGAAGCATATTGATTTAGGTTTTCCTCCCAAAGGTTGGGGAAGCGGCTATGGAGACTGTCATTTAAACAGGATAGACTATGGTATAGAGTGATTGTTACATGGACTGGCAGAACAATAGCTATGTACTCGGACCCAATAGGAACAGAGATTATCTGAGAGAGAAGGTCATGGCTTTGCTTCAAGGGGTAAAATTCACCAAACAGTTGGGCTACACCAGATCGAAATAGAAGGGGATACTAAAGTGGTAATTGGATGGATCCAATCAGGATGTTTGGGAGCCTCGACACATAAACAGTTGATAAGGGAAATATACAGTTTAACAAGGGAGGTGGATGCTTGCTTTAAGTGGACAAGAAGATTAGCTAATGGGCTAGCAGATACTTTAGCTAATGGGATATGTTTTGGGCAGCTTTGTAATTCAACTTGTATTGGTTCAACACCCTATACTAGGGGTTGATGTTTCTATTTTAAAATCTCACTAATGAAGTTAGTGAGTTTCCAATCAAAAAAATTCCACCCAAAGGTAAACCTAAACAAAGCAAACTCTAAAAGTTCTCTAAAAAAGACGCTTAAATTATTATGACCCATCAAGATCATTTACCCTATTACTAAGAAACCAACAAAAACTGTGACGTTGCTATTGACATAGTATCTTTCCTTTTTCTAACCTGCATCATTATCCAATGCATCCTGAACTGCTTCCAAAAAACCAATCCTCATAATTAGGTTGAGATCTTGTAGTAAAAGGTACTTCCCCACACACACTACACTACATAAAAGTAAAGAAATTTATAGAAAGAAAGGATTTTTTTTATAAGTAATTTATAAAGAAAGGATTTTTTTTTTTGATAAGTAATTTATAGAAAGAAAGGATTAACAGAACATAAAGAACGTTAATATTAAGTTTATCAGGACATGACATAACACCAGAAATAGAACAAGAGAGAAAACTGGGACCAAGATGCTTCAAAAGAGAGATCATACTACGTTACTTGGATTTTGTATTTCCAGAAGAAAGATTCTGCACTTGATGCAGCGAACAGAGGTCAATTCAAAGTCTTTGAGCATGTAAAAGCCAAGGTGGCAAATCCAAAAGGGCCATGTACTTTGCCATCCTGTGCTCCACCATTTGCCTAGCTAGCTTCAATCAATAATGTCCTTCCATTTGCCAAAAGTAAGCATTTTTCTCCTTTTCCACCTAAAAAAAGTATAAATGATGCCTCTTTTTGTGCATGCAAGAAATATGCCCATTTTTGCAATTCTGTAAATGGTCGTTCACCTGAAATGCTGAAACTGTTTGGGAGGGCGAGGTTGCAAAGCATGACATTTTTAGGCCCCCAAATTGAGCAGCCACAGACAAAGTCAATGCAGCCATTTTCTGCAAATTGAAGCAGAAAACTTATCCTTGTGAAAGATCTACTATGGAAAAAGAGCACACTATAATAGGGTTCTTCAGGGGAATAGTAATAGAGGACACATCTAGATTTCTATGGAGTATGGACAGTGTGACAAAATTGTATCATGTTTCATGTATCCCTTTTTTTATTTTCTTCACATGTTTTTTCTTTATTTTTAAACCCTCCACTGCAAAGCACCTAACTTCCCAGTTGCATAGCAGCTAATAGCCAATTATACAATTCTATTGAATAACTCTATCCACCTTATGATACCTCGGTGAGTTTTCACGCTTTTGTGTTTGATTATTTGCAATATCTTTAGAATTTCCAAGTGTGTCTTCCGCAACCTGTAAGGTATTTGCAATAAGTCAGAAACAAAGATTGCATTTGCATATCAAATATGTCAAGAAAAACATATAAACACCAAACTGAGCTAGATAGATAATTCCATGTCCAAAAAAAAAAAAGATAAGGTTCTGCATATTAAAAGGAGATAAAGAACTAAAGATAATTGTCAAGTAACATTGCAGCCCCCAAGGTCAAATAAGGTTCCAAGACAACATCACAAGCTATATAGTTCTCACTTAACAGCAAAACTAAGAACAGAACGCATAAGCTTTTTGTAAAGAAGATGGGCCGAATGGCCCATAGACTGTTATTCTATGTTATATTTATGTTCTTCTCTGTAATGGGCCTTATTCTGGGCCCATACTCTTCTATGCTGTGTTTTTGTAATTTCTTGCCCAACCAAGGGCCTCTCTTGTAATTATTCAAGAATTAACTTAATAAAATTATATTAGAGTGTTAGAGGGAGAGTTAGTTCGAAAACTCTCATCCTCTAACACTCATTGTCGCCAGCTCTCTCTCTCTCTTATCTTCTCCAATCTTCTCATTTGTTTGGTTTTCTGATTTTCATCTATCTTACACAATCCCATACTTCAAAGGCTGTTTTCAACTTGGTATCAGAGCGGGCCTGAGCTTGGTGTGGCTCTCATGTGGGTATAGTCCAGCCAACTGCATGAGGGTGATCTAGGGCTGGAAGTTTAGACTCATTCGCCTGATTCTTGGAGGTCATTGGAGGGTGCCCAAGGCACTATTCGCTTGGAGAATAGTTCAGTGACCAGGAAGAATCAGAGAGAAGGACTGTTCGGCCTGATTTGAAGCTCAAATCAGAGATTTATACAACTGTAAGTTGCTTCAGTTATTACTGGGTTGTTTTTCTGATTTGGGGGGACTGTTAAAGTGCTCGAAACCCCTCTAAATCTGCTCTGCTGTTCGGCTGTTGGTGGCCTGATTTAACTCAGAGATTTCTGGGTTAGTTTCTCATCTTGTTGGACTGCTAAGTGGCTGAAACTTGTTTGGACTCCGTGGTACGAGTTTGTACTTCAGTTCAGTTGCTTCTTGGACCTATACGGACTGCTCTTGAAGTGGTTCTTACTAGTTAACAGTGGGGTGTTCACTACTGCATACATAGTGTTTGTAAAAAGGCCTCTTAAGTACTGTGGTCTGTGTTTTTTTGCTCTCTTGAGGGCACTTGTTGTTGGGAACCTAGAATCTCTAACTAGAAAGGGACTCCAATCGGGTACATAGTGTTTGGAGGTCTGCTGGTTGTCTCTTGAAGGATGAATCAAGCCTTCTTCTTGAAAGAGCTGCCACCGAACTTGATTCTCACGGTTGTCAGGTCTGAACTGGCCTTGTGGGTGGCTGTGTTTGTTGCTGATTTAACTCAATCTTAGTTCATCAACAATCAGTACACTAGTGGAAGCTTACCAAAACCTTAATTGACGCCTTTACATGATGGACTTCTTAGATGTTGAGAGTAAGAGTGTTGCTGAATATGAACATGCTTTGGAAATCCCAGTTGATTCTTTGTTGATTGTAACAACAGTTAAACTAGATGGAACCAACTACTTGGCATGGTCACAATCTATGAAAATTAATATTTGTAGTAGAGGAAAGTGGGGGTTTATCTCCGGGAGCAAGAAGGCTCCCCCAGTGGATGATCCCTCTTATGAGAAATGGATGCAAGAGAACTACACCGTTATTGGGTGGCTCATGAATTCAATGCAGCCACAGATTAGTCAACATTATCTCTAGATGAACTCAGCTAAAGAAATCTGGGACAGTGTTACAGAAACCTACTCCTAAAAACTAAATGTAGCCAAAGCCTATAAACTAAGGAGTGATGTGAAGAATTTAAGACAATGGGAGAAATCCCTTGCGGTATATTTCTCAACCTTGAAATCTCTGTGGCAAGAGATTGATCTAATAGAGGTTGTAACATGGGATACTTCCAATGATGCAGAAACTTACAGGAAATTGGTTGAAAGAAATAGGGTTTTTGAGTTCCTAACCGGACTAAACCCTGAATATGACATCACAAAACAAAATATTTTGTCCAAGGAAAGTGTCTCATTATGACAAGCATATGCTTTAGTCAGCAGTGAAGAGAACAGAAGACAAGTACAGGTTCAAGGGGTTGGCACTAATGATCACTTTGCAAGTATGGGGGTTAAACCCAAACGAGTTATAGGGGCTCCTGGTGGCACTGGAAAGAAGGAGGTTGTCTGTGAATATTGCAAGAAGCCGAAGCACACCAAGGACAAGTGCTGGAAATTACATTCCGGTCTTGTTCCTGCTCAATTCCAGAAGAGAAATGATAGTAGAAAGACAGGGAGTGCAAATGCAGCCACGGGTACAGATGCTGAAGTTGAGTCTTCTTGTGCACAGTTGGCGGCCATGAAAGTTGAGTATGAAAAGTTTGGAAAGATGATCAGTCATCTCGAAGGTATAACTTCATCATCCAACCCTTCAGGAAGTTCAACCACCTCTGCATTTGCTCACTCAGGTATAAGAGCTTCTGCTAACCATGCAACCACCTCAGGTAATCCTAAGACCCCTTGGATCATAGACTCAGGTGCTTCTGATCACATGACCAACATTTCCACTTTGTTTGTTTCATATGATTTACTTCCTGGTCGTGACAAAATCACCTTAGCCGATGGCTCTCTTGCCTCTATTTCTGGCAAGGGAACTGTCAAGGCCACAGACTCCTTACTCCTATCTTCCACTATTCATGTACCTAGATTAAATACCAATTTGTTATCTGTAAGTAGCTTAACCAAGTCATTAAATTGTTGTGTAACCTTCTTTCCTTCCCATTGTGTTTTTCAGGATCTGGAGTCTCGGAAGGTGATTGGGAGTGGCCATGAAGTGAATGGAATATACTTGCTCGACACTCCTGGACAATGCCTTGATCATCCTAAGAATGCTGCTTTTGGTTCTACCTCTTCCGAGTCTATCAGTCAAATTATGTTGAATCATTGTCATTTGGGTCATTTACCTTTTTCTGCTTTAAGTCATCTATTCCCTAAATTGTTTAAGGGAATCAGTGTGTCCAGCCTTAATTGTGAATCGTGTCAGTTATCAAAGCATTATAGAAACAATTACCCTTTGAGCAATAAAAGATCTTCTTTTCCTTTTAATAATGTGCACTCTGATGTGTGGGGGCCTTACCACTTATCTTCTATGGGGGGCTATAGATACTTCATCCTGTTTATTGATGATTTTTCTCGATTCACTTAGATATTCCTAATGAAATCTCGTGATGAACTTCCAAGACTTGTGAGGCAATTTCATGAATTTGTTTTGACTCGGTTTGATACCAGGATTAAGATTTTTAGATCTGACAATGCAAAAGAGTATTTTGAGAAGAGTTTAATCCTTGTATCTCTCTGACATGGGGGTTATTCATCAAAGGTCCTGTGTTAGAACCCCTGAACAAAATGGAGTTGTTGAAAGGAAAAATAGGCATATTGTTGAAGTTGCAAGGAGCCTTTTGTTTGCCTCACATGTTCCCACAAGATTTTGGGGTGATGTTGTTTTCACTGCTACCTATCTCATAAACCGTATGCCATCCAGGGTTTTGGGGTTTAAATCCCCCTTCAGTCTTCTTCATCCAGACAAGGATCTCTTCCCTATTCCTCTTCGTGTGTTTGGCTGCACCTGTTATGTACACATTCCAAGTGCCCAGAGACATAAGTTTGAACCAAAAGCCCACAAATGTATCTTCCTTGGTTATTCCCCCACACAGAAGGGTTACTGTTGTTTTGATCCAAAGACTGGCACTCGATATGCCTCAATGGATGTTACCTTTGATGAACTTTCTCCTTTTTATGGTTCCTCTCAGGAAGGACATTGTCCACAGGGGGAGAGTTTGTCACAAGTGTTTGCTCCTCCTCTCCCTGTCCAAGTTGAGTCTCTTGATGAGCCTGTGTCCTCACCAAATGAATCAAGGGAGGATCAATCACTGCATTCTCCTTGTCCTAGTGCTCCTATCTCTTTACCTCCTCGTCTTACCCTCAATCCCAAGGTGTATCAAAGGCAAAGATTCAGGAATGAGCAGGTTGTTTCCCTTACAACAAGTGAGCCTCATGCACTATCAATCACAGATGAGACAACAGGTGTTGTTTCAACCTCTTTGGAACCATCTTTCCCTGATCTTGATGTTCCCATTGTTGTTAGGAAAGGAAAACAAAAGTGCACTGCACATTGCATTTCCAAACACCTTTCTTATGGTCTGCTTTCTCCTTCATACTTTGCCTATCTCTCTTCAGTTGTTTCTAATCCAATTCCTAGGTCTGTGTCAGAAGCTCTAGAGATTCCAGAATGGAGAGATGCCATGAAATCTGAAATGGATGCCCTACACAAGAATGATACTTGGGAAGTGGTGGATTTGCCTGAAGGGAAGGATCCGATTGGTTGCAAGTGGGTCTTTACCATTAAATACCGGGCTGATGGGACTATTGAGAGGTACAAGGCCAGACTGGTTGCAAAAGGCTACACACAGACGTATGGGATTGATTATTTGAGACCTTTGAACATGTTGCTAAAACGACATCTGTGAGGGCTCTCTTATCTCTAACAGCTCAATTTGACTGGCCCCTTTATCAGTTGGATGTAAAGAATGTGTTTCTAAATGGTGACTTACATGAGGAGGTTTATATGTCTCTTCCTCTAGGAATGTATGGAAGTGATATGCAAGGAAAGGTATGCAAACTGAAGAAATCCCTTTATGGCCTCAAACAGTCCCCTAGAGCATGGTTTGAGAGATTTAGAGCAGCACTTGTTAAATTCGGCTATACTCAGACACAGTCTGATCATACTCTTTTTGTGAAGAGAAGTGGATCTCTGCAGTATATCTTATTGTGTATGTTGATGACATTATTGTGACTGGTAATGATGCCTCARGAATTCGTGCTCTTAAGTCTTTCCTTCGTACAAAATTTGAGATTAAGGACCTGGGGGAGTTGAGATACTTCCTTGGCATAGAAGTTACTAGATCCAA